TGCCCAACAGCTCGCCACAAGCTGCCTTGCGGATTTATTATTATTATTATTAAATAAAATAAAGCATAATTACGCTAAAAAGGGACAAGAAACGTATGTTTTGTCTTGCTCACACCTACATATATTCCATTTGCACTTTCTCGCTCTAACCATTATTATTGTTTTAATAGCTTGTCTATTTTATTCTCTGTCTATGGGTTTTATAGTGTTTTCTTAAACTTGGTGTTTTTTGCAACAAATAAAGGACTTTTTATTAAATAATAATGTCAGGAAATAAGTAAGGAAATGTCTTTCTTTATATGTCTTATAAGTGTGGGAGAGCCATGCTTCGGCACGAATGGGTCGGCTCGACCGGAGTGATACCACGGCCTCACAGAAAACCGGCATGAAACAACTACAGCGTTGTGTTTCGCCGTGTGAGTGAGGTTACCAGAGGCCCAATCCTTCCCCTCCCCCAATTCCCTCCTCAATCCCTGAGTCTCCAAATCCCTTATCCCTAAAAGATCGGCAACGCACTCGTAACTCCTCCGTTGCGGGTGTCCATGGGCGGCGCTGATTGTTTACCATCAGGTAATCCGTGTGCCCGTTTGCCGAACTACTACATAAAAAAAATGTTATTGAATTGTCATCCATAACTCTTCAAATATTGTGCTGACTTTTTACTATGTATTTTGATGTGGTATTTTATTCATTATTTCATAAATTTCCAGGGAAAACCGCAGTTCTAACTTTAAATCTTCTGAGTCTGACGCATCAAAATAACGGACAATATTTAAATTAATTATAGATAAAATGTAATACTTCGGAATGAGATCACAAAATTATACAACAAAGCAAGAATCAGCTGTCGAATCTAGTTTAACTATCCGCCATCTTGCTTAACCCGCCACCGAGCCGTGGTTAAATTATTTGACTAATAGTTAATAATTTGACAATCAGTTAAGCTAACTAATGATCAAAAAACACATTTTGTCGGTAATTAACCATTAGTTAAGATTTTTAACAATTGGTTGGGTTAACTATGGATCAAAAAACCGGCCCTAAGAAAATAAACCTACCCTAATCCAGGAGCAATTACAAATGTTTCACACTTTACGGAGAACTTTTTAATTAGATGTACATATCTACATTATTAATATGAATAAAAAATACCAAACCTTATACAATATCACTTTTCTCAATATTTAAATAGGCATCCTTTAACAAAACCATTATACATATTTTAACATCTATTAAACCCAGAATAATTTATACAAAAGAAGATAATTACGAAAATTCAACAAATCGAAACTTTGACCACACAGAGAGGTTTTAAACAATAACAAAAGTGGTATAAACCAGTGAAATTCAAAACCGAATAACTGAAAGGCAAATACTGGAACATTTTCGACACACTCCATATCAAGTATCTAGTGATTTGGGGACCCAACCAAACATAATAAAACGTTGTTTGTTGGAGGAAATTGAGGCAACCGAGTTGTACCCTTTTAAGTTAGTTCAAATATCATGTATCGGTTTCGCTTTTAACCCTTCAAGGGTACGCTGAAGTACGCGAGAAACCTCAGCCGAGTATATCAGGTGTTTATTGCTTCGGTTTTCTTAAAGGTTAAGGGTTAAATCAAATATTATTGGGTATAAATGATACCTAATACTATCAAATACACAATGCCTCTTTTGGATATTCTATTGAAAATAATGTGCTAAAGACCAATTAGATTTTTTTACCGCCCACGTGTCGCTAAGTTTTTACATACTTTAGTGCAAACTATCTGTAATACACAATTCTCGATACAAATTTTGTACTTTGACCATGACTTCATAATCTAAAACAACGATAACGTATCGCCTACTAATAAGTAGGTATAACATAAAGTACCTACCATTTTTTTGCGCTAGGTGGGGCGAGATTGATTGTCAGACTCTTACTGTCTAAAACATCCCCGTTCCTTCTCCTGCTCCAGGCCAAGGCCGAGGTCGCGGTACGTTTTTGGGCTAAACCAGCAATCCCAACTGAACATCAGCCCTAGTGAGCCCCATGTTGAATAAGTCACAAGTCCCTATTTAGGGGAAAGAAAATTATCTCACAACTTCACTTGCCCTGTTCGGAACAAGAGGGACTGTCAGACTCTTCCTTACTAAAACCCACCTCCTCCTTTTGTCAGCTTCGAGCCGGCTGCAGTATATCATGGGCTTGCATCCGCAACCCTGGCTGGACATCTGCCATAGTGGGCCCCATCTAGAGTGGTGTGATTAAGCACAGATGATCAGGTTGCGATATTCAAGGCTTCTAGAGTTAGCATAATAGCAAATAATTTAACGTCATATCTATAGTAAATAGACAAAATAATTGTTTATCATTAGAATAAGGCATTGCATAACGCTGATATAATAATCATTCTACCAGTGTCATTGACCTCACTTACTCTGGCGTGTGCTTAGACAATTTGTGAATATAATAACATTTACAATTCCGATGAAGGACATTCATTTCATTACAGAGCTTGGTGGAAACATCAATGTTCTTATTCATATATTTTTGCACTTATTTTTTCTCTAGCATTATAGGTATGTGGTAGGATTCTTCTTGCCTTTTAATTTACCGCGCATTTCTCTATTCAAATAAGGAACTTTGTTTTATTTTGATGAAACAAAAAACTATTTGAGTAGTACAAATTATGTCTAAGCAAAAAGATCTTGACCGTATCTTCAAGGAATAAAAAGCGACGTCAGCAATGTGTTTTACAAGAATTCTTAAACTGAATTTGGAAAAAAGCGATATGTTTTTTGAAACTGTAAGAATATCTTGCAAAGTTTTAGCTTTGTAAACTGTCTGGTTGGTGCATTGTCTATCTGTCATTCAATCACTCATTCACAGAATCTTCACTGTTGTGTAGTAAACATTCTAGTATCCGACATTGTATCCAGATCACGATAAACCTCTAACGTTCTCCCAGATCAGGATAAACCTTTAACGTGCTCAAATAAGAAAAAAACATCAATATAAAAAATAAAAGGAATAGCTTCTCTAGACACCAATATCCAGACTTTCATTTGTACACAGTTTCATACATACTGATACATTTCAATGTTTATATTGGCATACAGCTACACGACAATGAAATGGGAGTCCCACATTTTTAGTAAATAAGGGATAGAACGTGACTCGATAAACGAAATGCGGTTGGTTGGGTAAGGAATAGATTTTAAGTGCTGGGCGGTATTGTATTTCGAGAGTGACGTACGGACGAATACACGTAGCATTTATCTGTACAAATGAAAATAGTACAATAAGAAATGAATGCCCATAGCTGTCAAATGGCTAGGCTGAGTTTAATCATCCTTTTTTGTAGTGTTCGTTATTGTTAAGAAAAAGTTAAAGGAAAACATTCGATACATTTATCGGAAACATTTGAAAATGGAACGTCGTTTATGTTCCGTAGCTGGAGTGGGCTGCTAGTGTTTTATTTTTTTCTGAATCATTTAGGGAGTGGTCGCACTTTTATAATATTACTTATTTATAAACTGACCTGCTTGTATATATCCTAACGACATTGTGAGCCTTATGAATTACGCAAAGGTCGTTCGAAGTGCCAATTTTTTTGGCTTTATCTCCTATTATGGAATACAGGCATAATTTTACATATAGGTTCTTTTTCACCTGTCTTCAACAATGTTTAATATCCCGTTTAAAAATCCTTTCAAATCATCGCCATCTTTTTCTGTAATACTGTCGAATGTACTTTTATATTCTAACTCGTTAGTTTTTCTAATGGCGGTCTGTGATAAAAAAATAATATGTCTTCAAGACTTCAATTGTAGAAAATTAGCCCTAAAAATTTATTAAATTCTTCTCCATCGTACGTGGCAAACACGTAATAAAATATCTCGCCGTTATTTATACTTACATCAAAATAAATATCTTGATATCAAAAAAATATTTTATACAATGTAAGTATTTATGTCATTTTTCTGGCGTTTTACGTCTGAATATTTATGTATTTATCATTGAGTTTAATATTAAAATTAGTGTAAATAAAGTTATATTCTTATTATAGGGAGTGCTGGAAACTGGCACCTTGTCAAGTTAAATGTTTTATTAACTTGTTAAATGTCAAAAACAATGCTTAATGTTGATTTGTTACATTTTATTAATTATATAAAAGCTTCTGAGTACTAATTTTTAATCATACCAATAGGTATGAATAAGCTCAAGTCAACTATCGGCAAATGTTATTAAAAGATTTTTTAATTTACACAAATCAACAAAATCAAGTACATTCCTTTTTTTATAATACCGTGTTACTATTATGTCGAGTTACTAAATAAATGCTAAGCAGAAAAAAAACTGTATACTAATTTGCATCATTTATTAACTACAACAGAAAAAAAAGAAGGAATAATTTAGCAAAACCAAACCAGTTATCTGAAGAATGCAACAAAACAGTTTGGTATTATCTAACCTATTTATCTGTCAGATAGTAGTCATTCAACTTTGACCATCCGGATGATGATAATGGCGAACCGTTTAGTTCTATTTGGAACCTTGAAGTGTTCACTACGTAACTAGTCGAGTAAGCCAAGATGGGAGATGAAAACAGTACGTATTTTGTTTTTTTTCTTGAAGATTAGGTTCTTGTTTCTAGAAACATCAAAACTATTGACTGTTGTTAATCTGTTCTGATAGAGAGAGAGACACGTAATATTGAAATTCCTTATAAGTATCAACAGAAAAATCCATGATGACACATAATGCTTCAATATTTTGTGATTATCTGTTATCGGTATCTTAATATTTAAGATTTATCAAATATTAATGCACTCATTATATTATTTTGTTTAATTATTGCATCAGTATCTATCTACTTATCAACTATAATTCCGCAGTTTATTTCTTGTCTTATTTTAAAATCTCTGAACGTGTTTTCTTTTATACAAGTGTTTAGTGTTTAGTTTAGTTTTATATGAAAGTATAAGTGTGGGAGAGCCATGCTTCGGCACGAATGGTTCGGCTCAACCGGAGTGATACCACGGCGTCACAGAAAACCGACGAGAAACAATCACAGCGTTGTGTTTCGCCGTGTGAGTGAGGTTACCGGAGGCCCAATCCTTCCTCAATCCCCAAATCTCCAAATCCATTATCCCTAAAAGGTCGGCAACGCACTCGTAACTCCTCCATGGGCGGCGCTGATTGCTTACCATTAGGCAATCCGCCTGCTCGTTTGCCGACCTATTACATAAAAAAAAATTTGGCCTTTGTAATAAGATTAGCAATAATACTTAAATAACTTGACCTATCTATAGCATATCTTTCATGATTCTGTAAAGTATTTGAAAATGCAAAAGCGAAAACAAATTCCTTCCGAAACGTCTTGTTAAAATATCGTAGTAGCCACAGGACCGAACCAATCTTCGTTTTAATTTTCTGGAAACTCGTTCAACTGTACCCAGGTGTTGGCGATAAAATCCATTTCGTTCGTCCAATCCAGATCTTTGTGACTATAAACTGGTTGGATTTCATTAACAAGTTTTATTTGCACAGCCATCCAAACGGTAACACTCTCTACGGACAGGGCTCTCATCGTGACCTTCGGAAATGGAAAGTCAATCAGATACGAGGACTGTTGGCTTAGAGACCACTGCAGGTATTAAACTATTGTTAAACTTTTAATGGATTTCTGTAAAATATTTTTCTAATAAATAAAAGTACCGGTAAACTTGTCAGGATTCATATTTCCTATTATTATTTAGATGTCCATCTTCATTTGTAATGAAATTGATGAGTACTTCAGAAGCGCTAGCTCTGACAGTGTCATTTTTTCACTTCGTAGCTTTTTTGAAAAAAATAGGTCTGAAGATCTTATATATTTGTAATGCATCGGTAAAATAAGTTATGGTTGTTGCAAATTTCACAAAAATATAGGTAAACAATAATGTACAATGTACTCATAATTGGTTGTGGAGGGCGAGTGGGATGTATTAGTTGTGCTATGAAAAATACTGCCATTCAACCAAAAGTATCAGCTTCTTAACCTAGTTGGGAAGAGGCACTGAAAAGTAAAAGAGAATAGTAGATAGCCAAGCTATAGATAGTTTCTATTTAGGGAAACCTAATGATCTCTATCATTGGAATTCCAAAGGAACAAAGTTTGTCAATTTGTAAACATGTCAAAAGGGTAGCTACCCTATCTAATTAATTAATCTATTTCAAGTTGATTGGTGTAATCCAATTTGGATTTTATTTACGGAATAAATACGAATTAATTAATCAAGTTTCAGAGGTAGAAACTAATAAATTTGTAGCTTATCAAGCAATTTCGTTCTTCGAACGAGGGAATTTGCCATACTTGCAACGTTTAGCAGTAATGAGGTTACCGAATACTGTCAATAAGAAATATTCAATATATTTTGAAGCCAATATATTTATAAAATATTTCAGGTGTTCGTCTTGCTACCACGCCAGCACCTTTCAGAGAGCACATCATATTTTAGTTATTCCTGATGTTACTATAAGTAGTTATGAATTTGACAGCTCGCAAATTTATGTAACATGTAAGTATCTCCTTTGTTTTTTGTTGGCAAAAAGTTGTAAATGTATTTAAAAATACAATTTCACCTAAGTTAACCCTTACAAGTTGTGCTTCATTGATTGTTATGTTTTTACAGATTAATTTTCAAAAGCGTTAAAACAAATAATACTCTACTTGGCATCAACAAGATCTTGCAACATTTTTGTAGCATTTTATATGATAATTACCTATTGTTAATTTCAGGGAGTGACGACCACAAATCAACATACACAGCTGATTTTTTAATACAATTCGATTATAAGACGTGGAAGGAAAGTCGAAAATTAAAACCTATTTTATGGAAAGGTGCAAGTGTAGAAAATAAAGTCACCAAAATAAACGTGGACGATTTTTTGACGACCACAGATGGCGCTAAGCGCGTATTCCAGTCACTACTTGATTACGGCGTCGCTTTAATAACAGGGGTAATTTGTTATGGTGTCTAAAATATTGCGGGGGTACATTTTTGTACCTGCTTATTAGTTATTAATGATCTAAAATGAAATTCATTAAAAATGTTTCCTTACCAAACTATGAAATAGACTCAAAATCTAGTAAATAGTAAGGCTATTTTTTATAGATACTACTGTACATTATATACTTCTTAAGATTGTATACAGTTTGTTATGATCAGTAATTCTTTCTCTTTGCTAGAAAAGGCCAAAATTTCTGCATTCTCTATTTGAAAAAAAAAACTTATTTTTGCAGGTGGGTGTTTCTACTGAAGCTACTGAAGAGGTCTGCAAGGCTTTGGGTGGTGTTCAACATACAATATTTGGAGGAATGTGGGAGTTCACCACGAGGGCAGACCATGCGGACACTGCCTACACCAATTTGCCTTTAGCTGTCCATAATGATAATACATACTTCACTGAAGCAGCTGGGTAAGAAATTTGATGATTTCTATATATAAGACTTCAAAAAGAAATAAACATTTTAAATTATACATACAGTCAATGATTATTTTTTAACTCGTTTAGATTTCAAGCTTGATGTGATACTTTTTTTAATTGTTTTTTAAAAGTATTATTACATCAGATAGCAACCATATTAATTACCTAAAAATAGCAATTTATTTTTCTCAATATCTTCCAAAGGCATTTTAATTGAAGAGAGAAAAGCCTCCGTCGTTCGCAATTTCATGAATAGCAATTAATAATATTCTTTAATTCCCTTTCCTTTCTGCTGTAATATTTTGGAAAGATTTATAGGAATTGTTAGACCCCAGATAAAAATTCAGGGAAAATAACAATAATATCTAACGTGTGAAGTACAATTTCGCTGAGTAATCGGGTTAAAATAATAGTGGAATGAAATTTACTAAGGCTTTATTTATAAGCCCGAAAATGATGAATTTGTAGCTTCATATCATTTAAAATGTAATATTATATGTCGCATACAAGTAAGCTTTCTCAAACCTTTATTAATAACGATTTTTATGGGATAAAGAGAACAAGGATACTGATCACCTGATGGCAACCAACCTTTATCGCTCAGGACATAAGGACACCTTTGGAGAGCAGTAAAACGTGCGTTGCCAGCCTTTTAGGGGTTAGAGATTTCAGGGTTGGGAATTTGGGGCAAGGTGCAACGTCAAGCTATACATTTCCATAACTAGACATGATGTGTCCAATGAAATTTGAACTTCGAGTTCTTCGTCATGGTATCGTTACGATAATTAAATCAGCGACCCATCACAATATTCAAAAGATACTTTGAAAGGAAACATAATTGTAATAATGAAGTTAGTTATTTTTGCAAGAGCCTATTTCTGACCCACTTTAACGGGATCCCTTCCGTCATTATTATTTCAGCGTCAATTCGAAAAAGCTTTTGTTTGTTGGTCGCTTTCAAATTCTGTTTAGCAATTCGTTTACGGGTGCTCAAGCATTCAGCTTCCGTTCCTGTTATACTTAGTAGTACTCTCTAGTCGACTGATAGCGAAGTCTCTTCGCCTCAACTGTCTTATTTCGTATCCGTACTAATATTAGGAATCAGTAAATCATTCTACCTTGTTTGATTTAACAGTTCTACAGTACAGAAGTGACTAATTTTGACGTCAACTGCTTTAAGTGATTGAACATATAATTTTACTTAAAATCGTTGGCTGTACTGCTTAAAACGAAGACGGTTAAATTCACCGCCCTCACCACACATCGATTGATTTATAAAAATCTTCGCCTCTTTCGTCGTCGAGTGATTTCCATTTTTACTAAAACGCTCCTTAAGAAAAATGTTTTTGAATTTTCTGGCTCAATTTAATGAAGCAGTGACATTTTTATTTTCGGTGAAATTGGTTTTTTATTTAGGATACATTTTGTTAAAAAGATCAAATCTGACGTTTGAGGTTAACTTCAAAAGGAGTATGATGCCGCGTACGGAATATGGAACGAGGATTAAATGTGGCATATTATTATGCTAAGTTAGGATATCAGATACAAGGTTGAGACACGTCTCTGAATAGAAGAACCAGCCAAACAAATTACAAGATAACGTTTATTACGTTTTTCCACGGAATATCATCAGTTTTTATCTGTAACGCTACAGACGTGCCTAATATACCAACAAACGCTTTCTTTATGTTATTGGGGTTGGTACATATAAATTACCCGTACATCATACCATACAATAAATTTACAAAGAATGAAAAGGCCAATTCTATATCTGGTTAATCCCTTTACAATTAAGCCAACAACTTATTGTTACGCCACGTAAAACCGTTGATATCTTCATACTTTAACAACCTACGATTTTATAGAACACAATAAAGCATAATTCATTATTTTGTTTATATAAAATATGTCATAAATTTTCATTTTCAGGGTTTCCGGAAATTATCAAATCTTCGCTAGGTTGTTCCATGGATTCCAATTAATAACTTTAAACTTAACTTAAATTCCTTTTTCCTTGTTTTGATCTTATGCAAAGATTAATGGGAAATTCTCTATTCTAACAGATTACAAATCCTGCATTGTTTGCAACATACTCAGGGTACAGGCGGAGAAACTTTACTGGTTGATGGCTTCTTTGGTGCGGAAGAATTGAAGAGAGATCATCCAGAAGATTTTGAATTTCTGACAAAATTTAATTTGGAGGCAGAGTATATAGAAGAAGGACATCATCACACGTATGCAGCGCCTGTTATCAAGTTGGATAGTGAGACGCAAGAACCAGTACAAATAAGGTGTGGAAAAAACTGTTTCTATATTTCATGGATATATTTATTAAACTTACTTACAGCTAGTAATTTTTGAGGTCTTATACAATTTATTGTTACGAAATCAGCCTATGATAATTCATTAGACCATAGGCTCTTTACAAAAGAAATTTTGTCCTCAACGCCCTCTAACCAGGCAGGTTGAAAGAGGTTAATCAGACCCCGTTGTAAAATATGTGTAAGGGTGAACAGAAGTAAAGTCATTTAGACTCTCGTGGAAAGGATGGGATTCATAACGAACTTTTCATGCAGGTTCAATGTTTACGATCGAGCTGCAATGGCTTTCAAGAACAGCGAAGAGTGCCGGTCATACTATCGATCGTTGAGAAATCTAGCAAAATACTATGAAGACAAGGACAACCAATGGCAGTTCAAACTAAAGCCGGGTGAGAGCAGATTCTAATTATTATGTTTGAAAATGTGCGTCGTGAAAGTGTTGACGTTTTTTCATTAGGAATTCTTGCCAACTTGCTCATTGAAAATTTAATTGCAAGGAGGTATAACAAAAAGATCATAAACTCACAAGGATCCGAGCTTGGTTTGTTGACTCACAACTAGCCCTTAGGTGCCCATTGCTGAACCATTCAATCATCACACTTGTCCAAGGCGTATTGGTGATTTAAATATATAAAATCTCGAAAACATACAAATACCTATAAATGGTGTAGGATTTTAACCTTGCTAATTGCGGCTAATGTATACTTATAATAAATCTGTAGAGAGGTCAATTCTGTACATTAAATATATTTTCAAAATTACTACCAAGGTGATAAGTGATCGATACTGATGCCAAAAATGCAAGCAGTAAAATTTTTGTTTATCTGTCGGTCTGTCTGTCTATCTGTCTGTCTGTCTGTCAGTCTGTCTGTCTGTATGTTCCTTATAGAAACAAAAACTACTCGACGGATTTTAACAAAACTGGGTACAATTATTCTTTATACTCTTGGGCAGGCTATAGGATACTTTTCATCACGCTAAAAATAATAGGAGCAGAGCAGTGAAGGGAAATGTTGGGAAAACGGGAGAAGTTACTCCCTTTATTATCTAAAAAAAAATGTTTTACAGCAAATGTTTATCTCTTATGGCTAAGTCACAATAGCACGTGTAACTTCTGATAGCTTAGCAGTTCGGATAATAAGCCATCGCGTCGTCGCATGTGAACAGTCAATCATGCTGTAAGGATTATTTTTGTGTAACGGTTGCCGCGCTCGATGCGATGCGGTATAAATAAAATATAATATAATAGGTTTTATGAAATATTTGTAATACTTACCTATTAGTTAGATCCATACTATTCTATCTATGGACGGACGAAGAGCAGAGACTTAGTGAGTAATAGGTTATTTCCCCATTGGGGATGTACCCATAAAAATAAGACGATTATTAACAAATTATATGTATACTTCGATTTTGTTCTATTGCTATAGGCTGCTTTTTATTAATACAGCACGCGGGCGAAGCCGCTGGCGGAAGCTAGTAATTATTATTTTGTTCACAGGTACGGTAATGGCAATGGATAACTTTAGAGTCCTCCACGGCAGAACAGGGTTTTCTGGGAGCAGAGTGCTTTGTGGTAGTTACGTATCCCGATCTGACTGGTTGGACAAAGCAAGAAGCTTAGGACTTATACAGTGAAATATAGGCTTATACAACTTCTTGTGTGTTTTCAATATACTTGTGTGGTTAATATATTTGTTTTTGGAATAAGCAAAAGTTTACGTGGTAATGTAACAGCAATTCTTTTATGTTTTGAGTCCCTTTTAATAGGGAGTGACCCAACTGCCATAAAGGGGGGCAGACCAATACTCATTTGCTGATATGCGAATCAAACTGGAAACTCCTTGCAGAGCGTTACACTTGCTACCACTCGACCAAAGAAGCACCGAAAGAAATGGACATTCTTCAGTATGCATGACATGATTACGTCAACCGAGTGCGAATTTGAAAGTCATGTAACCCGGTAGCCATTTTCCCCATAAATCTGCCTCAACTTTTATAACCGTCGAGCATAAGGGATGTCTTCAATATGGAAGCTAAAATACCATGAGATTACTGTCACACCTACGTTTATGGTTCCCATAAAATAATATCCTTATTACAATGTGACGTCATGTCACGTCAAACGTTTATGGAAGCTTATGGTTACATTTTGATGTTACTTGGAGCACTTTTGGGTATATTTTGTTGTACTTTAATATTGCTTCGGTATATTGTCCCTAAAAACATATCTTAATGTTTATTTTTGTCAATAAGACACCTAACAAGTGATTGAGTAATATGCTTTGGCAAGTATGGACTGGTTTGATCGAAGTGCTGCCATTTCTTCACAGATCACAGACACTCGCAATGTAGCAATACTTGCGTTGTATTCGGTCACGACAGTAACGTGTTTTGAGGCCTAACTATATCTAAATCCCTAACTCCCAAGAGAGTCAGCAAGGCACTTATAACTTCTTTAGTGCCGCTTGCTTATCATCAGGTCATACGTTTGTACGTTTCCACATTTCCATTTTTTTGCCTTATACAGTAAGCTGATCCCCAACAAACTGCATAAAATAATGTAAAAAAAAACATAAACAAAATCTAATATGCCTAGGTAGGTGTAGGTATGTGGCTACCACAGCCAGGGTTGCGAGGTAAGCGCAATAAGGTACCGCGGCCTCAGCCTACAGCAAGAGCAGGACCAGAAGGGTTTTTAGCTAGTAAGAGTCTGCCACTCCTTCTTGCCTCACCCTGGTCGAGAGACGTCACCTGACTATGTTCTCCTCACAAAAAAATGTATGTTAAGCTATCTAGGGCTACCTACTATAACATCTACAGTGCCTATACGTTACAAAAGGACGCGACCGACTTAGGTGCAAAAGAAGTCTAAATCTTTAAACCCCTATAAAAAACAAAACTAAAACTGCCCTTTTCTGTCTAGTATTTTGACCGAAGCAGAAATAATGGAGTAAGACCTCTACGTACAATATAGGAAGTTCATCGCTGTTTCGTAGTTTGTCATGATAGATCACTTTAGTAGTTCATTCATCTTAATACTTTCGGTACCGGCGCAAACTAAAGTAAAAGTGTCCGTTAAAATGATTGATTAGAACTCTATGTTGTTACTAGGTTGCTGAAAGGGAATATTGTTTGTTTAGTACCTTGATTGTATGCATTGCAGGGTTAAAACATTTATGTTTCTCCAAATTTTGGTTTTATACATACATATAACATCAAATTAATTCGGACTCATATCGCAGTGGCTGTATTGGCTATGTGCGCAACGGTGCCGACGCGTAGCGTTGAAGCTGTCAAATAACAACATTATAATTTTCTTTGCAAATATAAATAAAACCAAACATTAAAGTAGTATTGTTGACATTATTTAAGTATGATTTATTCAATTGTTTTACTGTATAAAAACCGACAGCTGATCATCTGCATTTGTTTAAAATTTCCTCCGCTCTGCGGTCAATATCTGCCCAGCACTACTCGCTTTGCACATAGCCAATAGCCGCTAAGTTCCAAATGATTTTGAATAGAGAACGCAATTTTTAATAAATCATGTGCTACGTAAGTTTATCGGGAATTCAAATGAAAGTTATAAAATAGACGCGTAGTCTTATAGAAGAATAATAATGGATACTCACGTTTTTCTAATTGTTCCTGTAAAAAATGACTTATTTTGGATGTGATATAACGCGTAAATGTGTGATCTATTTTGTCTTGACATCTGTGAAAGAACCTTTACCACCGAAACGCCATAAGATCAATGAAACAAACAATTTCTACCAAACAGGAAACTTTCAATAGAACACTATACAAGTATATACCCATATGAAGGCAAACAACATAAACATCAAACACACACGTACATACATCAAGTTAACTTTTAGTTTATATGTTCTCATCAGACGTTTAAACACAAAAAACGCACAAATATCGTAATGTTTCACTATCCAATCAAATGTAGGTACAAACTTACCTTCATGCTATACCATAAAACCTTCGTGGTGGCAGTAATGGCGACTGACCTAATAAATACGAGTAGGTTTCCACTTCGCATAGTCTCCTTTTAAGTAAAGTTGTCACGACTAAGTGTTTGCAAAACGTCTCAAGTTCGGGGTCGTTGCGAAGTAAATTGTGGAAGAGCTTTCTGCATGCTTATAAAACCTTGAGGAACAAATAGGTTTTTTAAATTATTCCGAAGTTTCCTTTATTTAAAAACTTACATTTCCATAGATACATTTTTTGATGGGCTAAAATGTGATTTTATTAAATGCAATGTGATATTCGAATGTGCACATTATTGGATTGTATTTTTATTACTACCGAAAACTTGAGTTTTTTTTTAAGTGGGAACATAACCTAATCGCTTCTGTCACCCTGGGCAGGATGAGATAAAGCAGGCTATTACCTACTAAAAACGACGCCGTTCTTTTTGCTTCTGGCCGGGGCCCAGTTCTTTAAAACCTTATTGTAGCATTATTATAGACGGTGCCTAACAGAACCGACGTTCAGCTGTTTCTAAATATATTAGGCACGTACCGTTTAGACACATCAAAACAGACTGATGTCTAGATTTTTTTAATAGCTTTGTTTGTTTGTAGAGAGACGTATGTCATTTATAATCAATAAAGCGATCAGCGCCGCCCATGGACACCCGCAACGGAGGAGTTACGAGTACGTTGCTGACCTTTGAGGGATTAGGGAAGGGGAAGGATTGGGCCTCCGGTAACCTCACTCACACGGCGAAACACAACACTGTGGTTGTCTCACGCCGTTTTTCTGTGAGGCCGTAGTATCACTCCGGTCGAGCCGACCCATTCGTGCCGAAGCATGGCTCTCCCACACATATATTCGTATATTAATACTATTACACTATTGTTTATGTATAAGGTATTATTGGTCTTTAATCTGGTATTAAAAGCAAATAATCGGTAAGTAGTATTCAACACTAAGGAATAATGCAGATGCAGATGCTAAAGCTTTGATCCGTAGCAATGTTACAAACGGGGGAAACCAGCTACCAGATTAAACGTAGCCCGATGAGAATGCTATAGAGAAAATACTGGCTTTAAAACTAGATTAACTTTTTATAAGATTGCGGAGATACCTTTGTAGTGTTGCTTTAGATTTCTTCAAGGAGTAGTATTGCAGGAATTTTAATATAGTAGTAGAAGCGATGGCTCAGTCAGTCAGTTGTTTAGTGATTGTGCTAGAAACTTTGAGAAACTTTGAAAATAATAATATTCTATACCTACATAAACGCATTAGTGGATAGTCGAGTCAAGAACATCAAATAAAGAGATCCGATTATTATTAACAAGACTCACCATTAGCAAAAAGCTTTTTAAATTTCAACAAACATGTCCAATTTATGAACTATAATAAACACCGACATTTTCCATTCCATTAAGT